ATATATGGTAGGTTGTTACTTTGGCAAAGAACATCCAGATGATGCAAATGAATTTTTAAAAACATTTGTTAATGAATTTATAACTTTAAATCAGCTCAAAACAAAGATTTCAATTTATGCCGTCGTATGTGACGCACCTGCCAAATCTTTAATATTATACACAAAAGGCCATAGTGGATATTCCAGCTGTTCAAAGTGCACAATTTATGGTAAATATATTCGAGATAGTGTCCGTTTTACTTATGAGCAACCTGCCAGTTCGCTTCGGACTGATCAGGATTTTCTTGATCAGAACGATCATGATTACCATAAAGGAAAAACGATTCTTACAACAATCCCAAATTTAGGATTGGTATCGAACGTTCCACTAGATTATATGCATCTAATTTGTTTGGGTGTAATGAAAAAGCTGTTGCTTTTGTGGAAAATGGGACCTTTGAAGGTACGTTTGCCCACTGCAAAAGTTCAAAGGATTTCTGAACGCTTAATAAATTTACAAGAAAGTACGCCTAGAGAATTTGTCAGAAAGCCAAGGAGTCTCGATGAAGTGAAATTCTGGAAGGCTACAGAATTTCGGCAATTCTTATTATACACCGGACCTGTAGTTTTGAAAGGCGTGATACGTGAGGACATTTATGTAAATTTCTTAACGTTGCACGTAGCAATTTCAATTCTAATTACCCCAAAGTTAGTGCAAAATGAAAATAAAATTGCATACGCCGACAAACTTCTAAATCATTTTGTTAAATCCTTTGAACAAATATATGGCCAAGAATATACAACGCACAATATTCACAATCTTTTGCATTTGAGTGCTGACGTTCGAAATTTTGGGACTATCGATGAATTTAGTTCATTCCGCTTCGAAAACTACTTACAAATGTTAAAGAATATTCTTCGAAAATCTGATAAACCACTGCAGCAGGTTGCACGACGGTTTGGAGAAATGCAAGCTAGCGGCAATTATTGCTTTAACGCGAATTCATTCAAATCAAAAACAAATAATAATTGTTTGCAAAATAAACACATGTCTGGTCCATTGCTTGAAGGCATTTTAAGAGGAACCATTGGCCAATACAGAATATTTACAAATGATTTATATTACATTAATTGTAAAAAAGAAAAAGATAGATATGTCATGCTAAAGAATAAAACTATCATTTGTATTGTAAATATTATTCAAACACAAAATCAAGACATTTTTATTATTGGAAAGAAGTGCGACATTGCAAATAACAATTTATATTCTTTACCATGTCCTTCGAGCAAAATAGGTATTTTGCTTATTTCACAAACAGACGAATTAAATGCATGGTCCATAGAAGAAATTGAAACAAAAATGTGGCATTTAAAGGATAGTCCTGATACAGGAGGAGTAGTAATTCCGTTACGACACAATGATATTTAACATCAGTTAATATTATATTGTATAAAAACATCCAACATATATAATACATACATGTAGATATTTTACATATTTGTCAAATAGTCAACGTGTGTACTAATTAGCGTTAGAACCTCCTTAATGTACAGAAATTTTGTTGTTTACAATTTTTGTCTCTTGTATGTACATATTTTTTGTCTCCTTTATAGTTTGTAAGGCGTCCCCGAAGGGACGCCTTCAACTATCTTGAATTATTTTAGCGCAATCACTTCTTGGTATGTACATACATATACATGCTTCGCGATGGACGGCGAGGTAAGGAGGGGGGGGGGGGGTAGCGCTGGGGAAGAACAATTGAAAATCGGTTGCTAAGTGACCTATCTCGTCGAGCTTTGATATATATGTATAAATAAACTTCTGCGCGTAGTTTCGTTTGGGAAAAATTGTTGATCCTGCGGGATTGCATCACTCGATTGCATCATCTCGCACGAGGCCCGGTTACCGGGTTTTAGTATTGTTCAAGCTATTAGTGTATTTGCAAGTAAATATCAAGCAACACCATAAAGGCTATTGGTTCGTCGTGGTCGTATCAGCTCGAGTTGGAAGAGCTGGGAGCCATAACTAGAAGAAGAAGAAGAAGAAGAACCTTCTGCGTGCGACGAAGTAAACAGAAAGTGAAAAGGAGGAACGGCGAGAGCGAATAGTTTTTTTGTTAGTTTCACAGATCATACATAGGTGCCAAAACTCTGAGAAAACTGCCTGCAGTACATAGAGGTTGGTGACATTATTTGTAGTTTTGTTAATTTGTACTTTACATATCATATTGTAGATTACATACATATTGTAGATTGGATATAACTTATTATTATAGTCAGTTGCATTACAAGTAATTCAATTTTAGTTTCAATTTTATGTTTATATGTACCATATTTTATCACGATTTTCAATAGTTCTGAATTTGTGTTTGTATGAGAAAGAGAAAGGATGGCATTTCATGTCGTCGAATTTCGAGACGGATTGGGTTTAATTCCGTCCAACTGGATGACGGAAAACAAAACTGTGTGCTTTTATCCAACGGGATATTCTAAATCAGAGATGAATAAAGCGGTGAAGGCATCGTTACAACCTGCATTGAAAAACACGGCAGCCAAATGGATTTTATGCGATATTGTACGCTACTTCGCATCAGCTGGTAACTATACCTACATATTCTTAATTAAGTGATTTTTTATTTTTCCCTTATTGTCCTTGCGAGTAAATAAAGTTCATAAAATGTGATAAAAACAAACAAAATGTATTTATAAAAATCATCTCGCACACAAAATCATCAATACTATATGCCACAAATACATTTTACCAGGGTTGGGAAGTAACTCGTTACTTGTAACGAAGTTACAGTTACAGTTACTTCTTTTTGGTAACTCTAACTTAACTTCGTTACTTTTTCTACATCTGTAACTGTAACTTAACTCAGTTACATTTTTTCGATAACTAGTAACTAATTTAACAGTTACATTAATAGTTACTTTATGTATATATTTTCAACCTCCACAAATCGCATTAGGCCTTGCATTTGCGCATAAACGCCTTTATCCCCTGCCGGAAATAATTCTACAAAATTCT